CGAGACTGGCTTGAACGTTTAAAATTCATTTCTTCAGATTTGTTTACTGCCAGTCTTCAAGCATAGTCCACCGACTAATGAAAAAGATATGATTTATAGAAAACTAAAACTAAAGACAAGCCATGGTCTAAATGTAGTCAGTTGCAAAGGCAAGCTTCGAAAGCGATCACCGAATGAAAATTTGCTGTTTCTCTCTGCAGCTTTCAATGAAAGCAGGCAATTTAATAATATCAGACCTTAGAAGAGGTACATTTATGGTACCAGACAGCACAGTTTTGATCTGCCATAGATATCATCAGAGGTATTGAGCTGAGGTATGAAAAATTTTAAGTAGTTCCACCCTGAGTAGTTTGTACAAAAATCATTAGGGAGTAGGAAAACGGGCTGGGAGAAACTTTCTGAACGAAAACACTGAATATGTTCTGTCAAAGTTTTAGGAAACGTTTCTTTTAAGAAAATGATCTCTGACGACTTTTTCCTTCTTTTTTTCAGTGAGGCAGACATTTGAATCTAGAGAGTTGGTCCAGCTAGTATCTGACGGAAATGAGGAAAGCTCTAATTCCAATATTTTGGAAGGTGTTAGTAGTAGTTGATGAGAAATAAATATTTATATGAGCAAGTGTGTATCATTATAGAAAGCAAAAAGAAGCTTCATCGCCTGTTAAAGCTGGAAGAATTGTTATAAATTAATAATTCCTCAATTTACTTTAGAGTACTTGTCACATCACGTTCGTGCATCTATCAGTTCATAGTATTCTTGAATCTATAGATTTTACCCATGAGTCATCAATACCTGATGCGATAAAACACATCCTTTTTTTTACCAGTGAAAAATGAAGACAAAACAATTATCTTTTACTCGATCAGCAAAAGCTCTTATTTGGATGATATTTTGTACATGATACATCGAAGAGAGATGGCTTCACAAACTTGATCAATCTTAAAATTTGAGACCATTTGATTCCTTAATGTTAAATTGCTATGGTTTGAAGTCCTTGGCACTACCCGGCGTATTCCCTTACCGAATATAAATACTCAGCTACTATCCATGAGCAAAGCAACCACAAATCCAAGCTGATTACCAAACTGTAATATCTGAAACCCCACTTCACCAGAAAATCTTCACTGATGCCTCAAAACTCATGGTGTAGGATGTGCATTCGTAACGAACGAAGCCGCCTGTAAATTTTATTTACATGAATCCGCCACTATTCTCACAGGAGAACTTTATGCCATCTATAAAGCTCTTTCCTTCATTAAAATGACACCTGGCAGAGTTTTTGATAATTGCGGACTCTCTCAACTCTTTTATTTTTTGTCGAAAATATATACCCATAACGTACTGGTAAATATCACTGAAGAGGAGTTGAAACAACTAGATAAGAGGACAGTAACCCTCATATGGGTTCCTTCACATACTGGGATTTCTGGAAACGATATAGCCAATAAACTTGCCAGAGAAGCTGTAGAACATCCAGCATGTAATATCAGTATGAAAGCATTGCCGATAGATCTCAAATCCTATTTCCATTGCAAAATTGTAGAAATGCGGAATCACCAATGGTCTCAAAAACTTTCCAAACTTAAGGAAATCAAGGCTATATTATATCCTTGGAACAACAAAGCAACAAACCGCTTCCATCAAGTCATAATTACCAGATTGAGACTGGGCCAGACTTGCCTTACGCATGAATATTTATTGAGGAAAGAACCGCCACCAAAATGTTTCGCGTTTGAAGTGCTTGTGACTGTTAAGCATGTTCTGGTAGAGTGCCCGCTCTTCACAGTTGAGAGACAGAACAATAAAATTCCCTCCAAACTAAGTGAAATTTTCCAAAATACCAATACCAACAATATTGTTGAATTTCTCAAAGAATGTAACCTTTTATTTAAACTGTAATGTAAACAACTGCATGTTTTAGATATATTTTATATGTTTGCCGCTAATAGCTAAGGCTGATGCGGTTTTTTCTAAATAAAAAAAAAATTGTTGTTTTCATATGTCAAGGAACCGGTCGATACTTGAAAATCCATAACGTAATCAAGAAACACTTCGCGAGATTTTCACTATGTTTTTCACAAAAACGCAACATATGTTTCGCTATAGAATGTCTTCTTCAGGCGTGTCATACTGTGTCTACAGTATAGACACTCTCACATTCGATTTTCAACAGTCTGTATACCAGTTGTTTCTGTCAAGCATGTTCTTGGTTGTTACTTCAATTGTGTGAAGTTTCTGTCTAAAGTGTACTTCGATGTCAGGTGGACATGTTTGATATTCGTTCCTTGTCCGATTTCCCTTTGTACCTCGGTGAATTTTCTAACTTGAATTAGCTTGTCTCTCCTTTTATTATAAGATGTCAAAGGGGTAGAATCAATAATGTGTCCAAGCTGTTGGTGTGGTTGTTGATGTTACGGTTTTTCCCTAACAAACAAGTCTTTGCACTATGTAGAGATTGGTAAAATAGTTTGATTCATCAAACCAAAGATGCATCTGTTATTGTAGCCAAAACATCAATTTGGTTGAGCCCTTATGTCTTTCCGTAGATCCATTTGGACAGCATCAGTGCTGCTCAACATTTTCATAAAGGGTGTTGGGTTTTCCTTTATATTTTCTGAATTCGTTTATATAGGAAATTAAAAGGATGGGACATTTCATATACTTTAACGATTTTTGGAAGTTTTGACGAATAGAGTCCTTTCAATAGATGGGAGTAAATCCACTCATGTTCAAAAAGCTTTCAAATTCATTTTGTTTCTGCATCAATATAATTTATGATTGCCCCAATAAAATGCCTTTACACTGGATATCGGTAGAAATCCACGAGATAAACTTGCTTAGAACATGCCACTCACGAAATCAAACCAGAAGAGTATATTGTCTCAAATTTTGTTTCCAAAAATAAAAATCATTTCTTGAGTTTTAACAATTATCCTATGTACGTACACATGTAAACAAATAATCACAAAAAAGTTCAGTCAGATTTACATGCTACTGTTACATACTACTTCGACTAAAATTTGTTCACCGAACAGATGGTGTTTTAAAAGAGCCTGATCTGCACACTATTAGTTGACGTATTTTAGCCCTTGATCATTTTTAAACGGATAAAAATATTCTTTTTACATCTACTCTTATATATTATAACTCTATTTCGATAAAAAATTACTAATTATGATGGTATGGTGTAAATCTGTTAATTTTGTAGACGCAAAATGTTTACGTGATCACTCCATCTGTTCGGCGAACGTTCTACACAGCCAAACACATTATAAATAAATAAATAACAACTAGTATCTATATTTCGTCGAATAATCTTTTGGGGAAACTACCAAACCTCGACCTTTTCTTGCTCCCCTGTAGACCGTTTCTAGAATATCTATCATTTCTTGTTTGTCTTCCAAGGGCCAGTTGATTTTATTATTGTTTCCAGTGCCCAAATCGATCATGACATGTTTATTTCTGAAGAAAAACATAACTGTGCATGGATCATACAATTCGTACCTGAAAAAGCAAGTGCCCAAATATAATTAGCAAAAAAAAGGTGAGAGAAATATCTTTGTAACCAAACATTTTGTGGGTTTTACAGGTTTCGATATGACTCATCAATATTGTCTTACTGACATTTTATTAAAATCAGGAACTTCGCTGATATCAACCAGATACACTATAGCAAAATTTTTCACTTTCTCGGCAATATTATAGAGTACCTCATCCATTTTCATGCAAGATGGATCCCAGTCGTGTCCAAATCGGATGACCTAAAAATATTAAAATTCAATTGAAGTCACAGTCAACAGTGATGAACATTTTTTTTTCAACAAAATTTTAACATTTCGTCTGCTACTACGTTTACTGGGAGGACGAGAATTACAAACGATTGGTTATTCCATAACTGGAAATGTTAAAAAACAAAAAATTGATGAATCCAGCAGCTGGATTCAATTAAACCGATTACAGTTCTACTTTTAGCTACATTCAGTGCAGTGCAATGCTTTATTCCACTTATTCGACTGGACGCAACCAATTCTACAAACATCGATTCTTGCTCCATCTATCAACATATACAAGAAGTTGGGTTAACTTCTTTTTCGCGTCGAAAACTTTTGACAAAATAAACGCGAATCCAGAACAATCTTGGTCATAATTAGAAATCAGCATTTCGCTATTTATGAAAAGGGGGTCCGGAGAAAGAGTATTGCGTGGGATTCGAAAATTAGGTATACCAAAAAAATGTCTAGAATGTCGTTGACAGTATGAACAATTCCAAAAATAGTAAAAAGGTTTCACAAAAAACATACCACAACTCTATCCTCTTCAGATAATATGGCCTGGTCTACCTGCCATCCATTATGTAAATGCGACAACATATAAGACATTCTGGGTGTTTTATCGATGCCCAAATACAGAAACCAGTTTCGCTTCAAATGAATTTTCAAATTTTTTGACAATTTTATATTGACGTATGACTGTTTGGTGACTAATGGCAGAACCTTTGTATATGGTCTATATACAAAGGCAGAACTAACTAATAGCTGAGAGTTTAAGTCAAAATGAAAATGAGCATGCGCCATGTGAGAGTAGGAGAAGATAGAGAGGAAGAGAGACAGAAAAAAAGGGCGCGAAACTCCTAACCTAACTTAAAAATATTCTCTCTTAATATTATTCTTACCATAGGAGCTCTTTGTAAACTATAGCAGGATTATGTTGCAAATGGACTTCATTTGACCTTGAAATGAAGAAGAGGTGAGCTCTTATATTATTCCATCCTTGTTATTAGTGAACAAAGATAAATATTTAGTCAAAAGGGCAAAAAGTACCAAGAAAATAAGGAATAAGTGTACTTCTATTTGCGTAACATTTAAATTAACAGTTTCAGTTGATACGTCAAGAAGAGTACTTCGACCAAGCCACTGAAAATAACTGCCGCAGTTGCAGTTGAAACGTTCGTAGATTATAACCAAAGAAGCCCACGGCAAAACCCGGAAACCAGCCAAAACAATATTCAAATTGTTATTTATTTTTTGGCGGAAAATCATTTCGAGAGGATATTGTCGGTCAAGGCATGTTTGATAGTATATAAAAATTCGGCATGGTCATAAAACAATACACAGTACTTTACAGTACCATTTCTTAACCATATTAGCTCAAAAGTTTTAATCCTTTCTTAGGTTGACAACAATAAACACTATTACTTGAGATCCAATACAATTTCATATCAATTCTATCAATTTGGTTCTCGATAATATTTAATGATCACTTAAAATAACCTCATTTGAACGATAAAATATTATGTATAAAGTACTTTGATTCACGAACAGGCAAACTCCGCCAAAATTCGAGCGAATTATAATATTATAGTTTATACTGTTTATTATTGAAGATTGTTTTCGAAAATAAAAAGTCGTTTTGTATTGATATTGCGGTAGTTTGCACATTTCCCTAGAAGTACAACTTAATATTTCTCTACNTGCCAAGTTATTTTAAACGTGTGCAATTTCCAATTTGATTGGCATTTGAACTGACCTTCAATTAGTCCCGAGGCCAAACAATACTTCTCTGTGTGAAGTTGAAATGCACTCTTCTCGAAGAGAGATCATTAACTTTGGTTTCCTCAACAAATTTTGTGGATGTGAATGCGACAGTTCGCCTTATCAGGATAAGTTGAAGTTTGGAAATTAGTTTGGTCATCTCCTGATGATACTAATTTGGGAAATATTTCTCGTAGGATTCAAAATTCTTGTTAGAAAAAAATATGATGAACGTTTATGAACAATTTTGGTGGTGAAAATGACAATGATTTGTTTTGACAAATGCAAATATACCTATCCTCTTATACGTATAATCATTATGGAAGAATCTATCTTGACCTTTAATAAAGGTGCTCCATTTTCAAGGTTTATTCATACACTATCAGGTGACAAACATGTGATAACAATTAGCACGTAGGTACTTTTTAAATACCTATTTATTTATCATTATCAAAATTACGCAAATAACTAAAAATTTATAAATGAATGAACAATAATCCGCGGTGCCCGAGAATTTTAACACCATGAAAAAAAATTACCAACTTTCTCTGTAAGAAAAAAACTTTTCGTTTCCAACAGGACGTACCTACCCCATTACAGAAAGTGCTTACAGCATCTCTTATACGTTACATATGCACTTTTACAAAATATTACTCTTGTGTATTCCGCAAAATAATGTATGTAGTGAAAGCATTTTATAATCAGCAAGTTACGTTTTTGCGTTTTTTTGAAGTTGAATAAAATATTCTCAAGACGAATTTCCATCAAACGGACTCGTTTGCGACTAACTAGTTTCATTTTCGAAAACAGAAACAATAAAACTTGTGTTAGTTTCGAAAACAAACTCGAATTTCACCAGACAGACAAAAAAAAATTATTTTGTTGTTCCTGAGGGGCCCCCGAATCTTCAGAAGATATCAAGATCGGTTATTTTGAAGGATCAGACTTACCGATCAGGTTCACGATTTAAATATGCAGTCCACTGTTCTCTTAACAGATCATGAAGATTTTGAGATTATCAATGATAAATGGAGTAAACAATATTATCAGTGATTATCAATTCGGTAACCTTGATAATATTCATTCTTCTTTGGATTTACTAGATCACATCTCAAAACAATAACTTCGCTTATTCGCCTGGAGACAATGTTCCTTCTGCATTTATGATTCAAAAGATATTGAATGGTTTTTCCGGTACTATAGTCAGACAAGTGACGTAACAGGCCGGAACTAGGAACCGTCAAAAATGTATATAAAGCGTCAAAAATCGTCTACAAAGCGTCAAAAACATATCTAAAAAGAGTCGAAAACATCTACAAAGCTTCAAAAAGTATCTAAAAGACGTTTAAAAGTAGCTACAAATCTTCAAAACGTCGTTTTGACATTTTGACAGGTTTGCCAACTGCCGTCGGGGCCATTTATCGGATGACAATAGGTCCGTGGTGCCGCGAAAGAAGTTGATAAGCGTCTAAAAACTTCAATACGGCGTTTTGAGGGTTTAATGCTTTTTAAGACGTGCAGACACGTTTTTGACGCTTGGTTTAGTATAATTTTTTATGCTTGATATAATACGATTTTTGACGCTTCCTAGATACGGCCTGTGACGTCGCTTGTCTGGCTGTAGTGCCAGAACTCCTGCTGATATGCCCATCTTGTCTCGAATTTGAGTAATTTCTCTGAAGAACATCGATTACATCCCCTGCACCAATAATTCATATTCTAAAACAAGACGATCTCGAAATTTGAGTCTACATGCTACTTCACAGACAGATTCAAATTATGTTTACAATTCAGGATGTTTATCAGCATGTCTAATTATGAGATTTTCACTAGACAGTTCTCAAAAGCAAAATATTTTAGGTCTATAATTTTCAATGCTATACACTCAATTCATTTTGAACATATTTTGAGCGGGCGATAAAATATATACTACAAAAATAGAGATCCTTTTTTATTTTTTTTACTGGTTTTGTTTTCACGACACTTCTCAATGCGTCATATTTTGTAATCAGTTGCATCGCTACTCAACAAAAAACTATCATAAATCACCAAAACAGACAAATTCCTAACTACCCAACGGCATCTGAGTACAACCAAAATCAGTTTTCTGAATCAAGGCTCAAAGTATACACCATACCAATGAAATCTTCCTTATATAGTGTAAAAGGTGATTATAATGTGTATAAAATGCTCGAGGTGCCGTGCAAAGAATCGCACGTTAAAAACAAGGCTACTTTAATCCTTAGCTCTCACAACTTTCGACTTTTGAGTGGTGTCCATCGTAGGGACGGGGGCGACAGCTGGTTAATGGAAAACAGGTTCCAACAGATCTGAAGTATTTAATTTGATAAGTATCAATATCGTATCAGCCAGCTTTGCAATTATTAAGTTGTTCCAAAAGTTGTGTCTGTTTCAATGTCACGTGTAATTTGAATCCACCTCGGCTGTGCAACGGCACGCGATCAGTCGTTAAAAAATTCAATGAGAAACATTGACGAAGCCAGCATTTCGAATGGCAAGTTTCGAGGTGAAAATATATTAAAACTACGAATTTATATACACATACAGATTTGCCAAGTTATTTTAAACGTGTGCAATTTCCAATTTGATTGGCATTTGAACTGACCTTCAATTAGTCCCGAGGCCAAACAATATATTCTAAACATTGATGTTATATATTTTTTCCGAATTTGATTTTTTTCCTTTTTTCAGCTCATTACTACATGATGTTTAGCAATTTTAGGCGGATTTGCGGAGCCTGGTGGTGGAGGCTGACAAACGGTGCTTGAGATGGCGGAAGAACCGGGCGTTAGCTCCCATGCGTTTTTTGAGGGTTTAAGACGTATTGGAAAGGTCAAAAAGCTCGAAAAGTGGATGTCCTAATATTTTAACAATCGACAGCAATTGTCACGTTTCGAAGTCTGTTCTTCTTTGCTTTTGCGCAACTAAAATAATCCTTTTTCCTGTAACTGAATTTTTGTTGTTCAGCAATTGAAAGTGATTCACACTTTTGATTTGATTTACGTAAAAGATAACAATTGAACACGTTCTAGGATACTGATATAATTTTTTTCGAGGCTCTTCGAATCATTTCGAAGCTAGTGTTCTGACGGAGCCAGACCACTTGAGGTTTTATCCAAATTTATCGGTACTTGATAATATAATTGGCACCATATAAATACAATCTGAAAATTTCGCTCAGTCAAAGGTGTAGTTGGTGCAAGATAAGAAGGTATTACTTTTTCATCGCATTTTCAAAAAAAAAAAATATTACATAGGTTTTGAGATTGTTGCTGAAACAAACTAGTCCTCTTTCATTATCATTTGAATCACCTTTTAGTTTATGTTCAATGAAGCTGTATTGTAATTCTTTTATGCCATCGTCAGTATGACAGATATCAATAAATAAGTCCTGTTTTTACTGTTAGATTTTCTCTAAAAAATATCACTGAGAAATCCGTTATTCACGAAAAGTGGTCCTTTGAGCCAGATCCTGAATAACGTTGTTTTCCGTGATATTTTATATTCTTTAGGGAACATCAGACAGCAAAAACAGGACTAATTCATTAACATCTGTCACACTGACGATAGCATACAAGAATTACAGAAACAGCTTCATTGAACATAAACTAAAAGGTGATTCAAATGATAATGAAAGAGGAATATTAGTTTCTTTCAGCAACAGATAAATGAAAAAGAAATTTGAATTATATTCATGAAAGCTACGCTTTCATGAAGTTTGAATTATTGGCAATATATAGACGAGTTTTGGAAAATATTATGCATATATGCATTTTTTTAGCTTTTCTGCCTACAACATGCTAAAATATGTATGTGTGACCAAGTTTTCGACTTTCAAATGACCTATTATCAGCATCTCGAAAAAATAAAAGTCATACATTAAAAACCCAACTAAAGTTGATGATGATTTGAAAACGATAAAACAAGGGAAAAATGTGTT